AATTATCATCAGTAAAAACTTGCTATCTTTATAATTATCATCACTATATTTTTCTCTGAATGAATGATCTTTTAAAGCGTCTTACGTAAATAAAATCCAAATGTTATCGGAACATTTTATAGTTAATAAATGTTGAAAATTTAAATGAGATGGAGATGTCCTTTATTCTTCGCAACATAAAAAGCAAGATTGGAACAAGTAACTTTTCTCTAGAAGAGAAAAAGTAAGAAGAGAAACAATTAAGGATGTACAGATGAAAGAAATTGGAAATACACATATCGTATTTCATCGATATGACAAATGGCGTAAAATCATTTCGTCAGTTGCAAATATTCTAAACGAATGATTCATCCTACCTCCAATTCTCACTTGCGGCGTCGACCCTCCGCGCGTGCGATTTATGCATCATCAAGTTTGATGGGTCGCTAAAGGCTGCTGACTGAGACCTCCATCGAAGGTTTAGGCTCTATCAGTGACGCAACGTTATATCTAAGAGGCATTGACTTGATTATATTCGACGTCATAAAAGAATAATCGGATATGCGCGCATGCATGACTCGCATAATATCAATTGAAATTCTTGAGATTCTTCTATTGGGAAATCAATTTCAGTCTGATTGAAATTGGAGATTATTCAGCGTGTCATTTTGGAAAAATTTTTTTAACTGATTGTGATTATTTGATTGTAGAATTAAAATACAATCTTTTATCTGCAATGTATGTTCAATCATGTGTGTTACATCATGGTGAAGAAATTTGTAATTTTTTTCATTACTTTTTGTTCGTTTATAAGAAAGTTGTACATTTTGTTTGCAGATTGCCGAATTTTTTATCTTCAACCACGTGTTCTACGTGTTGAGCAAACCATGGAATCATACTCAGTTATTTAGGAACAGCTTTGATTCTAAGCTTAATTATCAGAACTATCGACGTGACATACCAGTGAGAGATATCTCTTATCCACTGGAGGAATATTATGACGCGAAAACTGTGGCAAGGGAACTACAGCAGCTAAACAGAGATAGCAGAAATATGATGCACGTTAGTAAATTGTTTCTTCTTTCTGAAAAGAATCATCCTCACTAAAATTCACTCACCATTACTCTCTCAGAATGTGACGCCAGAAGCAAGAAAATACATAAAAATTTTTGTAAATTATATCTAAATAGAAATATTTTTCAATAAAATAACATGTAATCATAACAGAATGAACTTATAAAATATACCGAAAATATACTGAAACAGTCTTCTTGTTTCAAAAATTGTATTATTAATTTGAGTTTCATAGTTGTAAATAGAACTTATTTCATTTTTGGTTTTATATACACGGTTACATATACACATATATAATGCGTCATAATATACATAATTTATTTTCAAATATGGTTATTTATTAATAAATGAAACAAAAAGATTTCGATATATTTTCTAGTTGGTTCTATTGATTGTGTTGTTTTACTGAAATGCATATTCCTATATTAATATATTTAGCAAAAATTTTATTATGCATTTTCTCGCTTCTGACATTAAAGCTGTCATACAAAATAATGTAAAGATATAAATAAACATAGAAATCGATTAAATCATGAAATACTCAATACATTTTACTATTAGGTAAAATATGTATTTCATAATTCGAAATATTTCATTTTTCATTTTTCTACTCAAATCAGTGTACGGCTTTAATATGAATCAGTGCGCACTAGTGTTTCCAATCGAATTTTCGCCATTAAAAAATATTTTAAAAAAAGGAAAATATATTATAACAATTAAATCAGCAGGGATAAATTCAGGGATTAATTCATTTATTTTCGCAAGTTCATTCTTGATTTAAATTGTACTGGTATTATTTAATATTCATATATTTATATTATACAGAGTGTTCAGCAGATAATTCTATTATAGTTAAAAAAAAAAAGTTAAAAGATGAATATTTATCTGTTTTATGTAGGCTACAACATACGAAAAGAATTAAAAAAAAATTTTTTTCAGAAAAAAATCAAAGTCATCTTGAATTTTTTAAATAGCATCATATAATTTTCTTTTATAATATTATAGGAGTCTTTAAGACAAATTCAAATCACCGAAATATCACTTTTATTGATGTTTTATTGATTTTATTGATACTTAATACCAAATTTGTAACATTATTTGTAACAGCAGTATTTAATACAACTTCTGATTAAATACGTATTATACATATATACATACATGTACTAATTATTTAATAAAATATGCAATAAAATTAATAAAACATCAATAAAAGTGATATTTTGACAGTGATTTAAATTCGTCTTGAAGATTCCGACAATATTATGGAAAAAAATTGGCGCTATTTAAAAAATTTAAGATGACTTTGATTTTCTTATGAAAAAAATTTTTTTTTAATTTTTTTATCGCATGTAGCCTATATAAAAAAATAGATGAATATTTATCCTTTTTTTTAGTTGTCAGAAGTGTCTGAAAAATCGTGCGGACCGTTACGCTGAACATCCTGTACCTATCACTATTTATATTGAGATAAATGTCTATTTCTTTTGTGATTTATGTAGGAATATCGCAATCTTTGTGAAACAATAAAAAAAGTGGGGCTTTTCGATGACGATTACGATTACGAATATCAACCTCCATATTATTATGAGGTCTACTGTAAGAATGTCTATTTGATGTTGAGCGAAGACGAACGAATAATGAAACCATTGGAACAAGTAAACTTACCCGTCATACAGTGAAATAGATGAAGAGATTCAATGAAATGGATTCAAAATGACGGTTTTTATTGAGCAAAAAATATGGATCAACTAAAAGCAAATTAATAATATTAATTAATAATATTATTATTTAGCGTTGCAAGATAATTTCCAAGAAATGATAAATCTGATAAGTCAGATTTTCGTTAAATCGATTTTAAGTTTAATTTAGAAAAAAATGAAAAAATGTTTTTTTTATTTAACAAAGTTTTGACTTCAGAACTTTAACATTTTGTTTTTTCAGAAATGCGTTTATCCGGCATTCCAGTGTGTGCAAAAAAGTCAGCTTTTATATTTGGTCAGACGACGTCGACAATGGGGTAATGAGTCGAGATGTTGGGAACCATATACAAAGGAAATCGCCAGTGGTTGTGACTGCATGTGGCCGGTCACTAATCTTGGCGAGATAAATGAACACTATTGATTTAGTCAAGTTGTATGTTAGCAAAGTTAATGTGTTATTAGATAGTGCAAATATATCGCAAAACTTTCTGGACATGAATCTTAAGTATCTTCCATAAAAATATTTATTCATTGTATTATATATAAACGTATATATAAACGTAAATGAAAGAACATAAATTTTTTGCCATGATTAATCCTTCTCTTTTATGTATCACGTTATTGCGAATAATCAACAACGTAGAAGAATAGAAATATTATATTAGTCACCTCGAGAAATATTTTTCTATTCTTCCTGCAATAGATTATTTCCACGAGTTCGCCTTGTGCTTTGGTAAAAAACGAAATCCATCAGGCACTTTCCCAAGTAACATCTCACTAAAAATAAACAAAATCATTAATGGATATAATCGAAATTAACACTGTTCAATGAATGCATCAAGCTAATAGTCTTACGATAATTTCACCCAATCGGCGCAGTTGGAACTAGCCATCAGCGTTTCCATATCATCGCGACCTCTGTAAAACGGTGGTCTCTCGTTGATTCGCTGTGGTGGTCTCTCCAAAATTCCAACAGGAATATATCTGCAATATAGCTCAATAAATCCATATTGAAGAATAATATAATGCTTTAATTGAAAGAAACATATTCCTCTCAAGGTAAACTTGCCTGTGAAGGAAGGAGATCCATTCTAGCATGAATCTCCTGGTATTTTCGACGCCGCGAGTGTCAGATCCCCAGTGCTCAAGCCCGTAATTCGCATATTTCTTGAGAATGTCGAATCTCTCTGCGCTCGATATGTCGATTAACTTTCTTTCCTTTATCTCGGTAAAAATCCAAGGTTTGATTACCGCTCCTCGTCCAATAGTGATGCCCTGCACAGTACTGTAGGTCTCTTTCGTGCGACGATAGTCATCAAAGGACAAGATATCACCGTTTCCGAACACGGGTATCGGCTGCGCTGCTACTGCACATTTTTCTATATACTCCCAATCGGCCAACTTCGTATATCTCTGCTCACGCGATCTGCCATGAACCTGAATGAAAGAATCATCAAACTGAATAAGTTTTAGACAATAATACAGAAAGATCATATTTCTTTAACGCAGGATATTTACTAAAATCTTGAAAAAAAATTCCTTGAGAATTCTCCCAAATTGTTTAGGTATTTTTACTCAAAATCCTAGATAAGATTAGAGAATTTTTTAATATAAATTAGAATATAATTAGAAAATTCCTGATTTTCAAAAAAAGAAATTGTCTGAAAAGTCCAGTTTTTTCCAAATAATAACTCTACTAACTTTCTTTATTTTTCTCGGAAATCTTTTTTTTTTTAAATATTTCTATGAACATATTTCTATTAACATAACGTGAATTTAAAGATGTAGCATAACTGAATTTTTAAATAACAATAATCATAATGTGGTATTATAATTCTAATATTTTTCACAATAAGTTTTTTGCAATATTTTAAGATGTTTATTATTATTATATTGATAAGTGTTATTACATTGACGATCAATTTAATTTGTGATATTATTTCTGCTTCAGTTTATAATTTGTATTTCAAGTCCGAGAATAATTGACGCGCATATTTAAAATTTACATATAAATATTATTAAGTAGACACCAATATTTAGATTGTGTTTGGTTCTTTTTTATTTGATTTATTCATTTGATTTATTCATATAGCAATCTCAATTTATTGTGAATTCTTAAAGTTATCAAAATATTTTGAAGAATATTCTTTCCTTTTTCTTGATAAACTCAATTCTTTGGAAATATCACAATATTTTTTAAAAGAGACCGTTTATTAACAAAAAAAAACATAAATTTAATAGACTTACTCACGGTAATCATGGACACACCCCAATCTCGAAATCTCGGCATTAGATTATGTGCGATCGGTTTATCTATGTAGACCCCAGTTCTGGTCTTAACGGATAAGGGTATGTCCAACACCTGGCTAACAGATTTTATTACGGTTTCGAGTACGTTCAATCGATTGAGCATACCGCTGCCGCCTCCGTTTTTGTAAATCATATCGATCGGACACCCAAGATTCAAATCTATGTAGTCCGCATCGATCTCATGATTGAGCAATTGTGCACATCGTGCCAGTACTCCCGGATTATTACCACAGAGCTGCACACCGAAGATATCCTCGCTCTCGTGTCGCTTCACCAATGCCCATTCCTCCTGCGTGCCTTTCAGTATATTCGGCGCTAATGCCATCTCGCCACAGGTTATATCCGCACCATATTCCTTACAAATCCTTCGAAATGGCAGATTGCCTACTGTAGTCAGAGGACTGAGTAGTATCTTACCGTTCCAATCAATCGTCTTTTTCTCCGATTGTCGCAATCGGATCAAATCACTGTCGTCCACGGGTCCGATTTTCAATTCTTTTGATTTACACGTAATATTGCAATTAGAAGCGTCTGTTTCCATTTTCTCGACATTCGCATTATCAGAAATATGTTTCGCCACTTTCTCGCTATTGTCAGAAATATTAATCATGACATCTGATTTTGTATTTTTATCTTCTCCTTTACTATTCAAACTTTGCAATTGCATTTTTTTCATAGATGGACCGTTGGCTTTGATGATTGCCTCTGCCTTGGAGAAATTATACTTGTGCTTGCGCAATTTGTTTTGCAAATCCTTGGATAAGTGATTTTTGACAGCTGGTGGACATTTGCTGTACTCCTCGAGTTTCTTTTCGTCAATAACGTTGAAGCCATCTTCAGTCAAGTGTCCTGAGCCCATTCTACAAGTGATTCCTCTTGGGCACTTGCCAGTCAAATTAAAAATATAGCACTCTGTATCTATGTCTTCTGGCCTAATCTTCAGATACTTTTTCCGATCATGTAGGAAAGTACAGCGTTGATTCGAGCATTTTCTTTCTGATTCATTTGTAGTTTGATCCGCGATCCATGGACATAAACTCAATTCCTTAGAAACTTTGAATGGAGGTGGTCTCGCTTTATTTTGTCCTCTGAGCTTCTCTCTCTTATCTTCCAATTTCGCTTTCTTAGCAGGCACTTGGTCCCATGATGTATCTTCTACATCTGTATCAGTAGATACTTTCTGCTTATCAATTTTTGTCAAGCACTGATCACTCAATTGTCTTACATGGTCCTCAATAATAAATCTACATATCAAATACATATATTAATTTTATAAAATAATAATACTTAATAGATAATAATAAAAATATAATGTACAACTGTTCTTTAGATACATTAGTACTTGTATGCAAAAATTTATCAATGAACAGTATTTCAAATAATTTTCAGAAAATTATTATTGTCATAAATTATCCTTAACAGTTATCATTGTGATATATTTAATATATTTAATATATAGAATTAAAGATGGAATTATTTGAATTTGAAGAAAAAAAATAATTAAAAGGGAAAGGTATATACAAAAACAATGGAAAGATAGCACAGTTAGACATATACAATAATAGATACAAGGAGTTTGATATAGGAAATAGAAGCTACAAATATTTAAGGAAGGAAAATTTGAATAATGTAGGAATAAGGGAGGGAGGGAGGGAAGGAAGGAGGGGAGGGAGAGAGAGAGAGAGAGAGAGAGAGAGAGAGAGAGAGAGAGAGAGAGAGAGAAAAGAGATTAGTGAAACTTAGGTGCAGAAATGTAGAAAAAGGAAATAATTATTGGCTAAGTGAGGAGAGAAGGAGATGTATATTTTGTGGAATAGGTACAAATTACAGGGAATGTCATGTTGACAAATGTCAACAAATAAACAGCTGGTTCAGGATATTAGATAGGGATAGAAAATATAGAATAGATTTTAGAACTAAGAACTAGATTTGGAAAAATGTAAGGTTGTAAGGTTTTCAGAAGAAAGAAAAGAAAGAGATTAGAAAAAAAGATGTAGAATCTAAGGAAACTACAGAAGAGATTGACATTAATTGATATAATTAAACAACAGCGAATTAAGGCAGCAATAGCAGAATATGGCTATGATTATTCTGTGATATTTTTGTAATATGTAAAAATAAGAAATCTTTCTTTTCTGTGAATAGGTCACTAAATAGATATAGGAATTTATTAAATAGAAAGTAAAAGATGTGTAATATATAGCAATAAGATATTGGAATTAATAAAATATATTCTATATTCTATATTCATATAAAGAATTTCATTTATTATATACTATTATATACTATGATGATAAAATATTAATTTTTAAATAAAAATTGAGGAAAGATTAAGCCCTTCAATATTTTACTATAAATAATTACAATTATCACTATAAATAAAAAATTTAAATTAAGGTACAAAAATAGACGATTGATAATCTGTATCTAATGAACTATTTAGAGGTTATGAAACGAATACGCGCGCTTGCAAATATGTTCGTATAAGATTCATTCCTTACACGATTAATGTAAACCATCTGGCAAACTTACTCTTCTTTTATTAAACAAATACCCTTCTGCTTGTCTTCGCCATAATCGAATGAACAGTCCCAACATTTTTCATTGTAATCTGCCATTTCTTTACACGTGCCGATGATTAGACCAGACTAAACATCTGTCTCTGTTAGATTAATCCATTCATTAATTTTTTGACTAATTATAGTTTAGATAAAACACTTTAAAAGTCAATAAAATTAGGCTTATTCGATGTGTTTTTACACGAAATGAACGAATCTGCCAAAAAAAGTGTTGCTCTGTCCCGAAGTGAGATATATCGTTAGTTAACTATTGTTAGGTTAGGAAATCTGTCACATCTCTGGCATAGAAGGTTAAATACACAAATTCTGTTTTATAAACACAATTTTTCTGCTTTAAAAACACAAATTCTTTGGGTAATTATTTAGAATATCTTTCCAATCCTAAAATCTTAATAAAAACTCACTCTACGGATATTCACCATGGTGAAAGAATTAAGGTGTCATTACATGAAGCGTCACATAACCTGTATATTTTAGTAATACTAGACTATTTTAGAATACGTCATTTTTATTTACTAGAACACGCCATTCTGAAAGCTAACAGCGTTTTCGGCCCAACCGAGTTTGCTAACCTGGGTTGAAATAATAATATTTCGTGCTTTCCTATTGTAGAGCGTGTAATGTCAACCAATAGCGAAACATTTTCTAATCCAAGTTGGTGCAAACTGGTCGGGCCGAAAACTGGGCGTATTTCGTGGAAGATTAGAGAAATGCGACCAATTGCTGATCAGAATTTCTGTTGTACACTTTGAACAGAAATGCTAAACAAATTTATGATTGGTTTTCGTAACCTCGATGAGACATCTCGAAAAGTATGCCTCATAGGGAACCGACACCTTTCTATCGCGTACATATGAGCGGATGATTGAATGAATTGTTAAAATCAGAAAGTTTTGTGAGGTAGTCACTCTTTATTCGACGCGTTTTACATAAAATGAAAGAATCTGGTTAAAAATTGCATCTTGTGATCCGAGATATTAAGCGTTAAAGTTGATAATTGAGGTTAGGAAATCTGTCAGAGGCAAAATGAAGTTTATATTGTCTATAATTATATTGTTCCACATAAGTTTTGACTAATTTAGGGACTCCGTACAATAAAAGAAACAGAGAATAGAAAATAAGAATTTCAACCTATCAGAAACTGTATTTCACAATACATGCTTTCTGATAGGTTGAAATTCTCATTCTCTGTACTGTTTCCTGTTCCTTTTATTGTGCGAAGCACCTTAGACTTTTCCACGTGATGTAAAGGGACGCACGACTTCTATAATTGTACTGTTGCAAAATTGACACCTATATGCATTTTTTCAGATAGAATAAGTTGAAATGAGCCAGAAATTGGATTCGATGCATAGATTTCATCATGTTTCGGCGTAACAACAAAATAGCGTAAAAAACATAAAATAACTAGACAGAAACTGATGTTCAAATGAAACAATATGATTAGTCGATGTAAGTTACGCTTACGCAAATTACGCTGCATATGATGGCACCTTTTTAGCACCTTTTTAAGGTACCTTTTCATAGCGGCGATTAGTCGTAACTTTTGTAGCGATTGGAGAGTCAGCGATTGGAGCAACTACGGTCAACGCGATGCTGCAAACGCTTTGAAGCGTTTTTTTAATTGATCAGTTTGTAAAATTTTTTCTTCTAATTGATGCATCAAATGCTTCAAAGCATTTGTAGCGAGACTTTGATCACAGCCTTTATCAATCGCTTGAAAGTCATCGCTATTAGGCGCTTCTGTAGTTTGATTTGATTAAAGTTGAACCGACAATAGGCGATAATCGTTATACTTTGAATTTATTTTATCAAATTATGAAATTCCCGTTTTGCATAAACAAAGGTCCTCCAAAATCTTCTTTTTTTTGTATGTTTTTTTATCTGCAGATATAATTGCAACAAATGCTGCACTAAACAGTCGTTTCTTCCAAATCTCTTCTTTTTGATAATTTCTAAATATTTGATAATATTCTTGAGACTTCCATTTGGAAAGGACTTGGGTCCTTTCTATATAAAGATTATGCGTTTTGCGGGTTTCTTCCGTGTCCAGATCCATTCTTAGAATGCCAACGTTTCGTGAACCCCGCAGTTCACTTCATCAGAGGAGCAGCCTGATTCTGAGCTGTTCTTCCGGATCGCCCCTTTTTTATATTTGACGCTACTTGTTGAATAGTGGAGGCGGAGAAGAGAATTGTGGGTGGGAAGATGGGTGGAGGAAATCAGTCAGTCCTCATTAACCGGGAAAATAGTTTTCCATATTTTATTTATGTTGTAGCCATTATCTCTATTTAGATTGTCAGGGTGTTTTTATATTTCTATGGCTTCTCTGTACTTTCTTGGAAAGTATGTAATGTTGGCTATTGTGGTTGTTTTGTCAAACAGTATTTGATGTCCAGTTTCGATGTTGTGTTCTGATAATGCTAATTGCGTGATATGTTTTAACCTGACATCACGTTGGTGTTCTCTTATCCATAGTTCTTTTATCCATTGATCATTCTCCCAGTTTCAAATATACATTGGAGAAATTGTCAATTGTAATATCTGTAATCGCTACTTTTCATTGCGCATTCCATTTTCATAATAAAAAAAAAGCGATTGATCAATTTCATCATTAAATTTCGAGCGATTTAGAGATGTATGGAAAGGCATTTTTAAGGTGCTAACGTTGATGTTCATTTTCGGCGTTAAAAAATGTCACGTGACTCTGCTTGGTGCTAGCATCAAAGAAGTAAAGTTGAATTTGTTAATAATGCATCAGTTTTCCACTGGGAAAACTGATGCAGCACTAGCACCGTACTAGGTTTAGAAAACTGCATTAAGACAGTAATAGTGCAGGTTTAATGCAATTTATTGGAACATATCATAAGATATCCATTTTTATTAACATCCATTTTACTCATAAGATTACTTTTTCATGCTGACGCTCATTTTCAAAGTCAAAACGTGATCAAAATTAATGCTTGGTATTTGTCAATTTTGATCACGTGATCTGTTATGACGCTCAAATCAAGCGTCGAGCGACAACATGAAAATTCAGCATAACATCCCTAAACATATATATATAACTATGGTAATGGCACCCGCTTATTCAAACGCAAGTACGCCACTAACACTATGCGTCCAATCAATTCAGCTAATCGCAACATTGTTTCGATTTCAACATCTCGATTCAGATAAGCGACGCGTAAGTGCAATCGGCAGTCGCACTACGCAAGCTCGTCAACAATAGAGAAACAAGAAGTCGCCAATAGGAACATACCTTCTTTCTTTGTTTATGTCATAGCCTGGTCCAGGCATACGAGTAAAAGAAAAGTGATATTAGCTTGTATTGTATTAATATATACTAACCAATTAATCTTAGTCAGGGACCATTGTATGTCAAACTAAAATAAACCTGTTGTGATTGTTTATACGATAATCGCTGTGATTCGTCATTCATCTCCTTTCGACCATACTATTTATGTTTAAACTTAAATTACTTATTTTATAATATTCTGATTCATTTATTTATTTAAAACATTTTTTAAAATTAAATTTTTACATTTTATGAGTTTTAAACGTCAAATGTCGTTACGTAACTATTATTAGAAACATTGAAACTAACAATGTCATTGTTATAACATTAATTACAATAATGTAATATCATAACACAATATCATGCTAATGCTCTTAGCACGAACACCTCAATTTCAACTAAAAACGTAGATATTGCGTCCACCATTTTTATTCCTTTTCCCACTCCTTGCTTTGTCCCCATTCCATCACTGAACTGTGATGGGTTATGGTCATTACAGATTATAATTTTTATTTGCTGCTTGAAATTTTGTAGCTCCTTTCATTCCATTTTTGCTCTCAAAATCAGTTAAATATCTATCATAATATTAGTGCAGGACCTGAAGAGTGTTTGGCGTTCAGGTCCTTATTTCTAGATAAGGTGCCAAATATGTATGTCAATTTGAAAAAAAGGATTAAAATTTCTCATCTGCGAGGAAGTGTAGTGATGTTTATTCACAAGTCATGTATTTATTTTACAGCAATACAGCAAGTTGTTGACGAATATTATCCGCAGGAAATTTAAATAATCGAATACCTTTTTTTGATTTATTGATACAATTTACCGCAACACAACAAGGCATTTTATAAATTTGTTTACCTTTGTTAATATATAATATTTCAGTTTTTTTATATCTTTCTTTTCTCTTAGTCTTATGATAAAATTTCGAAGTCGGAAATACATAAATACGAAGCTACAAGGTTTCCAACAGCTTAAAAGCTATAACCTAACAATCATAACGATCATAATCTTCAACTCAGCGGCGGAGTGAGAACAGAGCAAGGAGTAGGAAAAGGAGTAAAAATGGCGGATATCCGCTGTTAATAAGTCTTCGGAAAAGTTATTGGACAAAAATGAAGTCTTTGCGGACGAGACAATAAGAGAAATGTGATTGGATAATTTTTTTTATGTATACATTTATGCGGCTATACAAGTTGTGTGGATATGTTCTTACTATGCATCCACTTTGTTAGAGGGCAGTAGTGCACGACAGTATTTTGCGATTTCAGATTTGGTCCGTCACGTCCTCTCTTAGGTTTCTCTTCGGTATTAATTATGAAACTTTATCCCTAGGATGGAAAGTGAAAAGTGAAAATTTTCTCCATTAATTTCAATCATAGACTTATAAGATAGACGGAGCATTCATGAGAGAAGCTGAAGACTTGATAGAAAGAGAAAGAAATAATAATCGCGGACTAATTCTCTTCTTTTCTAATAGTGAATTAATTGGTTGCAGCCGCAAGCTGGGAAGTGGCGAGAACAACGAAGATAGACATTCGAGAGTTGTGGTCTTACGATCAAGCTGATTGGCCCCCCCCACTGCTCACTGTAAAAAAGAGAAACAATTATGTCTGGAGTAGAGCTACCCTTCAATATTGTCTTCAGCTTCTCTCGTATGAATGCTCCGTCTATCTTATAAATCTATGATTTCAACGGTAAAAATTTTCACTTTTCATTTTTCATCCTAGGGGTAAAATTTCATGATTGATACCTAGTGCAAGTTGAAATAAAGCACTATAAACGTGAGTTTATAAGTGAGTTTAAAAGGAATAAAAATGCCAATAGCCCCGAGTGGTTTACGCGGATATCTCTTGGAACGTACCTGATGCTTCTCTCCACACCTACCAATAGCGGCACGATCGATGGAAAGGAGTCTTAGGCCTGTTCTATAATTAGTCGTATGTAGATGTTGGCTAGTCGTTTGTCGTATGTTGTATGCACAGGAATATGACTTCTATTCTACAATTGAATCATTGATCGAAGTCGGAAGATCAGAACAAATATAAAGAATGGATATTGAAACGTTGAAATATACATTCAAATTTATTATTAATTTGAACGCAAAATAAGAATACTTGCGTAACCTGCATTTAGTAATATTGAGAGATTACTCGCTCGATATCATTTGCTGATATTTTAATGACATCGAGCGAGCAATTTGTCAATATTATTAAACGCAGCGTTACAAATGCTTATCATTTAATCTGGAAATTAAATGTACTGGTACTCGCACTTGAACAAATTTTACACAACCACATATGGACAATACATGTAATTGTAGAATAATGCGACTCCACTTGCTTGACGATTATTATGTATTGATTTAATTAGTTTTATAATATTGAAAAGGATCAAAACGATGATCGAAATGTATATTATTCAAGTTATTAAACTTGAATAAATTTATATACACGAATTCACCCAGTGTCAGCTCTTATAAGTATTTCTTAAGTTTGATACAAAAGAATTAAATTACAAAATATTTTTATATAAAAATAATAATAATTTAACAAATAAAAAATTTTCTAACATATTTATATCATAATAGTTTCTCAAATTTGTGAATATTTTTTGCCACAGATTTCTCTTTTTGTTAACATTTTTAAAATCCATATCGCGTTAATCATACAAGCAATGATTTTCGCGAATAAAATTAATTATTTCATCTACATTCAGTGATTCTATAATATAATATAAATACGTGGGTCGTTTGATAAATTTGGTAAATTTTCATGAAATGGCGCTACAATCCATTTGATGACGCGACATCTTGAAAGATCCATTCTTCGAACCTCTTCAGGCCAAATTTCAGCCAGAAAGGACGCATAGTTCTGGTAGTCATTTGAAGCGAGATTGGCGCGCAAAAAAATGTTCTTTCATCAAGACAACGCGCCGTCCCACAAGTCGACCATTGCAATGACAAAACTACGAATTGGGCTATGAATTGATTCCTCATCCACTCTATTCTCTGGATTTGGTCCCGTGTGACTTCTTTCTGTTCCCAAACTTAAAAATTTAGCTCAGTGAGAAGAAATTCTCATCAAATGAGGAAGTCATTGTCGCCGTCAATGAGTATTTTGCAGACTTTGAGACAGCCTACTTTAAATGAACCAAACGTGAAACATTTCATGGAAATTTACGAAACTTATCAAATGACCCACGTATATCCATATATCCATATAAAAATTTCTGTTTATCTACAAATGTGTTCGAAGATTATGTTTCATTTAGTCGGAAAAGATGAGAATTGACCATCTTCTATTCCGACAACAACAGCCGACTTGCAACCAACTTCATTCAACCGCTGACAATCCATGCGCATGCGTACGACGTTCGACATACGATTCCACATACGATTGATTGTAGAACGGGCCTTAAGGACGCCCATAAAAGAGAGGTGAGAAGAACGACTGAGAGATATATAGAGTGGACGCGCGCGAGATTCAGTTTCCTTCCATTGTCCGGCCATTTTTGCCGCTCTAAGTTTAAGCGTCGCGTGTAAATTATTATTCTAAGTCCGAACACAATTCTCTTTTTGCTAATTTAATTCTTAATTTCTAATCTATTAATAATTGCAAGTTTTAATTCCTAGTTTGTAATCCAATTTAATTTAGATTACTCTCGCATAAGAATTAATTACCATCTCGGTAATCAATGTACTGATATAAATTGTTTTAAAATATATACTTAATTAATCTTAATCCAAGTGTAGTTATCTACCTTCTCGCTAATTATTAACATTTACGATATAATTCATTCGTTGCAAAACATTAACGAAAAGCGATCGTGCGTGGCTATTAATGCGACCGAAATCAGCAGCCGGACTCACCCAGGGAGCAATAGAGGCCTTGGCATTTCAATCATTTCCCCTCCTTCTTGTTGGCAATTAGGAATATCACAGAGCATGTATTTTTGCGTTCGCGCGCCCCTAACGACGCTCGACTCCTAGTGGTCAATCCTTACGTCACATCCGTAATGGTTGTTGCATATCCGCCTTATTTTATCAGCTTAAGGAGAGCGGGATGATTAAATGCACTGAATTTATACTTCGTTACCCATTCACAAAAAAGAGAATTATTCTAAAATTTTGAGATATTACATCCACCTCGATTACCTCGAGCGGTTTGAGACTTGCCACGCATGCTCTTTAATACTCGTTACTTTTCGCGCGATCACAGGTTGCTCTGAGTGCATTTGGAAAGATTCCTAAGGTTTGTTCGCGTCGCATATTCCAACATGCTCCAACATGCTTCTGGCATAGTTCCTACTCACTCTAACGAGTGCATGGAGTAGGAGGCTATGAAGGAGCACATTGGATCATGTTGGAGCATGCGATGCGACAAATCTCTTGTGTTATCTATGTATATTGTTGGAAAACATCCAAATAGCATTGAGGTGCATCCAGGCGCATTCCCCAAACGCAGCCTTATGGCCGCAGCACAGACCTCTTGCATAACGCATCATGCATAGTGCATAGGAGAATCAACTAATCGAAAATCTTTATTTCCAAGGAATGGGAAGGAAAGATTCTGATTAGTTGATTCGCTTGTACTTCCGTTAGGCGTTATGCAAAAGTCTACGGCCTTCAGTTTTAACTATTCACAGCTGTTGATTTCTGTTGTGTATTTTGGTATATTCTGCAAAACAACAGTTGAGTGTGGATTAAAAATTGGCCATCGCTGAAGAGGATTGGCTTCGTAGAAGTCACACGAGGCTGTAGAAGTTAATTCGATCAAAAACTTGATTAATTGTAAAGTAACTTGAGTTTGTATTAAGTTAAATATATATATAAAATGAGAGCCAAGTTAAATGAAAAATAAAATGGATATTTTTCAAGTTTTAGGTTTTTATTCTTTTCTATTTTGCACAGCTGATTATTGTGCTTACATTTGACTTCAAGGTTATACTTGTTGATGTTACTTCTTTTTTTACAAGAATGGACATTTTATCTTTAAATAATCATTTCATCACTTATCATTTTTATCTTTAAATAATTACTCTTTTAGCTTGCATTAAATTGCGTAAAATGTTTATTTTAATATTATGATTGGCAAGCGAATAATAAAAAATAGTTTTCATATTTAATGGTTGTTCCTTTTCATTTTGCACAGTTATTATTGTAGATTTGACTTTACATTAAGATTATATATACTTGATGGATAACGCAATGTTATTTTGAGATTTTTACGAGACTAAACATTTTATTGTCTTGCAATGTAATACAACATCCGAAATGAATTGTATTTTAGGGAAATCATACAAGGATAATGTATAAAATAACAGATAGTTCTTCGGACGAAGATGATCCATATACAAATTCTGTTGCTCGATTAAGAGGTAACACTTTTTTTTGTGACAGTTATGTTAATTTATAAAACATATGAGTTGGAACATATGAGTCTGATCCAGAGACTTTTCCTAATTTTCAAATAGTATTGTGATTTGGAATAATTTCATATATCATAATCTCATTTTTCAGTTTTAAACTTGAAAAGTCCTTAAAAAAGTAAACTAATAACAAAATACCTTAGCAGGTTGCAATTAAAAAACCCATATATTTTTTTAGCGCCAAAAAAGATGTATTTCTGTTACTGGTTAACCAAGTATATAGAAATAAAAGCAACTCTGCAATGTATTTTGATATTTGGAAATAATTCTTACAATTAAATGCAATATTTTGTTTTTAGCATTGAAAAAACAACGCTTTGAAAGAGTGGAACTTTCTCTTAAGGAGAGGTATTTATTACATAAATCATGATTATTTAAAGTATTGTCTTAATTATGAAATACTAATATTTTTACATTACATAAATAATATCTTACATAAATAATAATATAATTATTAAAAATAATAAACAGAAATAAATTTATAGATTAAAATCAAATATATAT